AAACACACACACACACACACACACACACACAAAGGTCTTGATGTTGCACATGAACTACACACTCATGAAAACCTGATCCCCCGTGAGGTAATGCTGCCGTCGCTCTGTGTCAGAGTCGTATGTAGAGCTGGATCCCCTCGTCTCTAATACATTCTCAGTCTGGACGGTCAGTCGTATTTCACAGCAGACCAAACAACACGGGGCCTCAGGTTTAACACACGCACAGGACACATCAGAGCAGTAAATATGAGCTTACCGTGAGTGTAACGTGTGTAAGGGCATTAAACATGCAGCTGTACCAATCTAGTTTCATTTAGCATGGTTAGGCCTCTAACAAAACTGGCAACCCGTCCCCTCGTCAACGCTTTACTCTTCTGTCACTGCGTCCCTTTTTACGGAGCATGACGAGAGACCGTTTCTCTGTACAGAGATCATTCATCATGTTTGGATGATACATTGATGAAGGAAGCCTGCTCACTGCTTTACTGAGCTCTCAGTAATTAAAACATGTTCATACGTCATTTAGCCTCTCTCTCTCACACACACACAGGAAAATGTACTCTCTGAATGAAGTCTGCATTTGTCAGTTTGGTCTCGACCTGCAGCTCTGATGTGGTTCTGTGGTTAAAGCGAGGAGAAGCTGTGAGTCATTTAACCACCACTGCTGCTGCTGGTCATGGTGGTTTTCTTCAGAGCCACGACTGCGCAGGAAGCTTAAAAAACGAAACCTCACACCCTCAACCACCAACCACAGAGCGGCTTTTATACGAACACTGGTTGAGAAGTAAAACCTGCAGTGGTCACCATCATCAAAGTTACCTGAACTAAAAACTGATGAGTCAGTGTCCAGGTACAGGACGCAGCAGAGGTCCATCAGGTGAGGTAGAGATCACCTCTGATGTAGTCCACTTCACTCACTTATGTCCCTTAAAGGCTTTGTCTGCGATTTTTTGATCCAGCAGATGTCGCCCTTGAGCACCAGCATGAAACCAAAACAACTCGCGGTGCATTGTTGTGTTAGCATGCTAATGCTAGCGAGCTCTATTATGCTCATATCTTCACACTGTGTGTAAATTTACCCGAAATGAGCGTGATCTAGAAACGCAGTTAAGCAGTGAGTACAGTATGTTAATCTTCTTTTCTCTAGTCCCTCAATTAAACAACTTTTATTCGCGAGGGGAGGAGTCAGCCGGCTGTCCTGGCGATATAAACAAACTGAAGATATGACTCGGAAAACTCGGAAAACATCACAGACAGTGGGACTCGGGTGTTACACCCATTGTAGACAGTCATGACTCACAGAGTTATTTTCAGAGGATATACTTGATTTCTATTATATTTAAGTGTGAAAAATCACATATAAAGCCTTTAATGAAACCCAATATAATAGTTTTATCTTAACTTTGAAGCCGGCCCATCGATTGGTTCGTTGTGCAATTTACTGATCCAGCCTCTTCGGGGCAATTCACTCTGATCTTAAACGTTACGATCAAATACCAAACAGACCGATGAATCTCTACACCTCTACTCTCCATCAGTCCAACAGAAAGAGCATCATTCAGTGACCTCTTATTTGAGAATGTAAAATAAAGAACCCAGAGGAGAAGATATCACTCCGTCAGCTGGTTGGACGCTCTCTGAACTCTGTGTGTGTGTGTTTGTGCGTTTGTGTGTGTTTGTTCGTTTGTGTGTGTGTGTGTGTGTGCGTGTGTGTGTGTGCGTGTGTGTGTGTGTGTGCGTGTGTGTGTTTTGGCGAGCTGTCCTTAACGTGTCGGCTCTTTGGCACAAAGTTTTCACAAACCTTAACTTTCCTCTCCTAAAAACATTTTTTCCTCTTTTTTCCCCCCAAAGAAATCCAACCCATTTCTCTCCGATCATCTTCTTCCTTTAATTTGTTGGCTGATGTAACGAGCTCTGTGCTCTCCTAATGACTGATTTCCTCTTCTGTCATTATGACTTCACCACCTCTACTCCCTCTTTTCCTCGAATTTCCGTCACTTAAAGGATGAGATTGACGAGCAGCTCGCTGTCCTGCAGGGTGAATATGCTGTTTGGTTCATTTGAAGAACGTGATGAAACAGCTGTTTGTGGGTTTTTTAAAAACATCTTCATCAACAAACCTCTGCAGGAATCGTTGCTTCATCAAGGTGTTAATATCCCTTACATGCACAGTACAGACACTCTGGGTAAGTGAGAGATGGCATCCTGTGGGTTGTCAAGGGGGTGCCCTCCTTCCTAAAACTTTGTGGAAAAGAAGAAATAAATGACCCAGTAGAAATACAAACTGTCCGAGTTATTGACAGAACGCTGTTGACTTGAATTAGCTATTCCTCCGCTTTACAAGGTTCATGCTCTGGTTACTTTCAAAACGCTCCCACAGACTCAGTGTGGACCGGTTCTGAACACATATGGTGCAATTAGCCCTGGCTTCATCATGCATGTGTTCCTGCTTTCCTGAGGCATTCAGGGCTCCCAATCGAGGCTGTGAAAGTGCTGCTGATGAGTCTACAGGGGAAGACTAAAGGCGTTTGAGGAGGGCAGTTAAAGAAAGTTGTTAAAGTGATTATCTCTGAAGTCTGAGACACACGGGTCCAGAGGTGAAGACGAGCAGAGACCACCGCCTGAACACAGAAACACAGAGAATCATTAATGTCTGCTTATATCATGCTTTATCGTCTTCATTGTATTTTACTGTTTTTACTTCATTTTTCAGACAAATACAGTCGATGGTCAGAGAGCGAGACTGCACACTATAATCAAGTTATATTGTGTTTTTTAAATGTTAGGAATAGGGATGTAAAGATGAATCATAAAATCGTGATAAATCGATTCAAAGGCCTCAAGGTTCACATCGGTACTCTGAAAAATGAATCTCAATAATATGGTGAGCGTCAGCAGCTGCAAAACAAGATTTAGAAACTGAGGACGCGCCACAGTCTTTTAAATCGGAGGTGTGGAAGCATTTTGGCTTCCCCAAGACAGAAAATGAAAGAGGTGAGAAGATAACAGACGAGACAAAAACTGTGTGCAGATATTTCAAGAAGACAGAGAACTACACAAATAGCACAATCAACACGATGCAGCATTTAATCGACACCACAAAGAGAAGCTCCAATCACCTCCCCTTGTTGAGAGAAAAGAAAACATTAAAAGGCCAAAACACACTGACAAGTGGATTTGAACCCCTAAAGGAATCTCTTTCAGTCATCATTTGTCTTCAGTCTCATTTTGTAAAATAAATCGTATCGTGAGTGGAGCGAATCGTTTCATCCCTAGTTAGGAATCAAATAGTGACTTTTATTCATGATATAGAAAAAATGTCAAATTCAAGATGTGCATGAATACGAACCTACTCTCCACATCCGTGCTGCAAAGAGATGAACATATTTCTTATGTTTTATTGTTTCTTGGTGTGTGTGTGTGTGTGGGGGGGGGGGGGGGTAAATGCCACACACTGCTCTGTTTTTGTCAAAGTTTAAACTTAACAAACAAACTCAGAGATCATAAAAGTGTTTTAAAGGGAGTGTAAAAGTGAAAAAAGAGAGAGACATTAAATCTATTAAGTGAGTGAACTGTGTAGTGTGGCGTGCCAGCAGGGCGGCCCGGGGGAGCAGTGAGAGTGTTTTCACCCTGGAGGAGGTCTGACAGGCTTTAAGGAGCGGCCGTAAACCTGATAGTAAACTTGATTGGCCTTCAGCCGCTGATAAGTCGCCCTGAAACCACCACAGTGTGTGTGTCACTCTGCAGGCCGAGAACATTCGAACCTAGAAAACAAGTTAATAAGCAGAAATCAAAGTGGGAATGATATTCAGCTTTGTGTGCAGTCTGAAGGTAGATGACTGCATGAAGAGTAGGAAAGAGAAGAGCTGGAGACGGAGTGATTTAAAGCAGGTCAGTCAGAGTTCAGAGGCAGGTTGTAAAGGATGAGGGTTAATAAACTTGAATGGTTTCAGTCTAACAGGTCTGAGCTCCGACGTTTCAGCCTCTTTCTGCACATCCTGTAAACTAATAAAACGTCTTTAGTGTGCTCGGACTAAAGCAAAGCACATTTTACATGATGACCAACGTAACAAGTTCAGACGTGTGTCGAATGAATCTTTCTGATTTGAGTTTTTTTTAATCTAACAGCAAACATTTCAATGTTTCCTCGTCTCCTGCTGGCAGACTTGACAGACTGGATTTTTACGAAGCTGTCTAAATGTTTAATTCTGTTTCGTAGTGTTGTAGTACTTGAAATCAGTCCTTGTCTCGGTCTTGTCTCAGTCTCAGTCTCAGTCTTGTCTCAGTCTCAGACTGGGCAGACTCCGGGTTTTAAATCAAGACCACCATTGATTGGCTATTTTTCCACGTCATTACTGTGATTAGAAGGGAAACACCTCTTTCTCTAAAAACAAATAACTTCAATTCAAGAGTGACGCCACACAGGCAACATCCTTTTTTTTTGTTTTCTTCCTCTTCATCCCTCAGACAGACAGGGTTGACCGCTGCTCCATCCTGAGTTAAATAGTTTCATGATCATCACTGATGTCCCAGAACAAGCCCGGTGTTTGTGTGAAGTCAGATCCTGGATCAGCTTCAGCGACTGATAGAAAGCAGGTCTGTCAGCAGCATCAGCACGTGAGCAACAAACACAAACAATCAGAGAGGAGGAGGAGGAGGAGAGAGGAGTAACGTCATGAAGAGTCCAGCAGAGGACAGAAACTCTTCAAAACACATGAAAGAGTTCAGGCCTCCTTTTTTAAAAAACATCTAAAAACTCAGATGTTTTCCATCGCACATCCTCCGCCCAGGAGGGACCTGTGAAGCACATCGAGTTACATCAGAGAGAGAGAAAAGAGGAGGAGGAGGAGGAGAGAGAGGAGAGGAGAGAGAGGGAGGGAGGAAAAATTCTTCAAGTATGAGAAAATTTTACTGCTCTCCTCCCCTCTCTCCTTCGCCCTCTCTCTCTCTCTCTCTCTCTCTCTCTCCGTCCACTCCTCGTCTTCCTGCTGCTGCCGGTCAGTCAACGACACATCCACCACAAACATTCAGAGACAAACCTTAACCTGCTGACTGAGAGAGACCTCCTGCAGCTCTGAGCAGGTAAGATGCTCCTAAGTTACTGATTTGGCATCTTTGATTAGTTTCATTCATAAGTTTGAAAGAAAGTTTCATATAGCATCAATATGAAGGAAAAGTGACTTTAATTCACTGATTTGGCTTCAATGATCAGTTCATTGATTGACAGATCTTTTCATTTAGATTTTTTTTATCTTCTCTGTGACTGAAGTTTCTCTGAATTCAATCGAGCGTGACATCCTGGGCGCTCTGACAACGTTTTTGTGAACTTTTATCAACTTTATTTCCCAACAAATATTTTAACTCATCCATTTCATAAGACTGGTGCGTAGGAGGGCAATGTGTCAAAAAACTTAAACGTAAACTCCCACACGCTGCCCAACCTTCAACATTTATTGGCAACGTTTCATTTGCCTCATAAAGGTCGAGCACCGACACGTTGAATTAAATGTTTGTGTGCAGGTTAGACTCTGTGAGAGTTTACCTTTGAGACCGACAGGTTGAAATAAATCTGGAGAATCACAGGTACATTAACTCCAAACAAAATAATGAGAGAAATGGTATAATTATGTTGATTTAATGTGTGATATCTTTACTTTATCAACTTTTTAATTATGTAAAAATATGTGAAAGCTGACAGGATCCCAGTTCATAATAAAGAAGAGTCACTCTGACATTTCTGTCATTACTAGATTAAATAAACCCGACAGTGGGAGGCGATTCTGTCTGCTGAGTCTTGAGACTGCATGAAGTGATAATTTGAATAAATCGATAAAACAGGACGATTTGTGTTGGACACATTTTAAAATCACCTCGTTGTTATTTTACGGCTCGTTCTAATGAGGCCGGATTTCCAGCTCTCCAGATGTTTGAGGAGAAACTGAAATAATGAGTTCACGTGAGGATGATTTGCATTTTATGATGGAAAAGCCGAGTGCAGACTCCCCGACTGAACTGCTCTGACACCGAGGCGTCAGGTGCTCCTGCCTGTGGGTGTTGGAAGTGTTATTTGTGGTGGCGGCACATGAGATGGAAATCGATGCAAATTTATGATAAAACCACAAAGTTTGTGAGTTTTTCCTCCTTAAAGTGATTCCAGACTCCAGTCCTGGTCCCTGATGGTTTCCACAGAATCCGACTGTGCAGAGTGTGTCACTGATTCTGGTTTATTTATGAACGTTTGTTGGTTGTTTGTCAGTCGTTATATCATAAACTCATGAGAAACATGAATCAACTTCATCAATAAACACATGTTATCCCCCTTTTCCAGCTTTTCAAACAGTCCCCTGTGGTCTAAATGAAACATCTGTGCTGTGCTTTGGTTAAAATATAACATGAATCAAGCACCAGAGGAGGTTTGTGGCCCTGTATAAACCAGCTCTCTCAGAACGCTCCGTTTTGGTGTGTGTGTCTCTTTAAATGCAATGAGCCCCCCCTGAGTTTTCCCAGTAGACATCACTCCTTCGCTAGTGAGAATAAAAATGGCGGAACTGTGCTAAATTTTGTTCTAGGCTGGGGTGGAGTCGATGGGTGGAGATACCAGCGGAGGGGAGTGGATTTTTTTTTACCAGAATCCCACTGTGACATCACAAGGAGAGCACATTTGAAACGGAGGCTGAAATGAGGGATTTTACTGACGCCAGAATCAGATAAATAAGGAGGTTTTTGAGCTACATATCTCACAATACTACTCTCTGTAGCTTAGATTGACATGATTAATAGTGAAAGGGAGTAGAATACATCTTTTAATATCACAGAAATCTGTTGGTGAGTTAACAAGAAATTAGCTCTGCTGACGTTTTAGATCAACTCTACTGAAAGCTGGAGACTCGAGCTATGTTAGCGGCTACATGCAAAACACGCCTGAATCTTTGCATACGAGTCAGTCAAGCTGAGTGGCTTTGTGGGAAAGGGGGCATCGACCACGACCCTTCACGACCCCCTTTGTGCAGCTCTGCTCTGTGCACAGCTTACAGTCAAACTTTCAGGGCTAGCTTTCTGACCCTGGCAGAGAAAGTTAACATTCCTAGCATTCACATCGAGTAACAAATGTACTTCCCCCTCGTCTTAGCACCCATGGAATTCTTTCCCTGGACCAGCCTGAAGTCAGAGTTTAAGTCTTGTCCATTTAAAAATTCTTTAAATCCACCATTTAGATTGCAGTGATCAAGATTCACGCCTCTGGCTGAGATGATGCTATGTTCACAGATTGTGTTCCGGTGTAGCAGGTGAGCAGCTGTTAAAGCACTTTAAACCACACTCTTCTGCTTGAATAAATAAAGCCCGATATATCTGCTCTGTTGGATCGACCCTTGATGCTCTGGTTCTACGAACACACGCTGTCTTCGTGATTAGTATCGGCACACATCTGAACACCTGCTGAACCACCTGTCAGCCCCATCGCAGCCTCAGACAGAGCTGAGTTTGTTTATTCTGACCCCTGAACGCTGCGCTCAGTTTGAACTGGAGGTAAAATAAAAACGAGCAGCAGAGGGGAGAGAAGGTAAAGGTGCAGAGGGTCTTTATGATGCGTTCAGGGACCTCCTTCATCCTCTGAGACATCCAGCTGCTGCAGCAGGACCAGCTGTGAGCGGCAGGTATTTACAGGCTAATTGATCCCTCTGAGGTCAGTGCAGGAGGCTCGCTAACCGCTCCAGGTCGAGACAAAGACGTAAATTCAAGAGCAGACGCTGAACTCTGTTTGTGTCGGGTTAAGTCAAATTAGCAACAGAGACAAAAAGGAGAAGACAGTTCTGATTTGTCGAGTCCAGATGTGTTTGGATCGTTTAGAGGATAACTTTTTTTCACTGTAATGAACAATGTTTCGAGTTTCTTGATCTCCTTAAGAGAATGTTTTTAGACTGCTCCGTCTAACTCTGACCTGCATGGCGGCAGCATTAAGAGGCATTAAAGATTAACTCAGCAGAAATACCCGGTGTCATTACTGACAGAGGCCTCACAGGAGCTTTTATTTTCAGTAAAACTGGCGCTCTGTGCATCAAACAGCTGCAGGATTGACCTGTGAGATGTTTCCTTTATGCTCCGTCACCTCTCCAGCAGCATCCCGGATGACGTGCATCTGTTGATGTGGACTCGGCTCTGAGCAGCTGGTTTCTGCATTCAAACCTGCCGCTGGACGCCGGTTTCACAGAGTAGATCTCCTGAGTTTGGAGCAGCTGTGGTCATAAATCTCTCCGGGAAGACACGCTGGTCAGATCACTCAGGGTTCGGCTGGTCAAGCGTGCAGGAGTGAAAGTCAAACTGTTGTAATCTTCAAATTCATTCGTTTTTAAATTCCTTTTGCCGTCTAATAAAGATGCAAACGTTACATAAACGTACTTAGAACGGAGAGCAAAGGAGCTGATACTTCAAATCTTTTGCTGTTGTTTTGATTGAGAGCCCCCTGGTGGTGGAATTTACATCCTGTGCGTTTAAACTGTGCGATGGGATCACTTATTATATTTGTGTATATTTGTGAAAATGAGCAGCTCCTGAGGTCTTAGTGGTCAAATTATTAGTTTAGTCGATGCAGTCTGGTGTCTTTGGAGAGAGTGATCTCTCCACAGAGCTGCTTCTCGTTCGTGCAGTAGCTCAGTCTGTAGGGACTTTTTGGGTTTGGACCAGGAGGATCACTGGTTCAAGTCCCGTTACGTACCAAATTATGGTGAGGTGCCAGGTCACTTCCCAAAGCACTGAACCCCCACTAGCTCAGGAGCACTCCGTCCCCTCAGTATTGGTGCATGTGTTTATTTCAGGCCTGTGTGTGTGTGTGTGAGTAGCCTGCTGGGGCTATACAATTATAAAAATAGTTTTTTTCTCTGTAACAAAAGTTCGATCTCTGTAGGATTATCTCTTTAATGTTGTCAAACACTTAGAAGAACAACCTGAGCCTGTCACGGACAAAAAGAACTCTTAGTGGACACACTTTGATTGGGAGCACTTGGACCAAGTTTTGCCGCCCTATCAGCCCGGTTCACTTCTTCTAAAATAATCAACTGGAGAAATTCCTACATTTATCTTCTTATTATCATCAAGTCCCCAAAAATATGTTTAGAAAAATACCTCAGATTCTTTAAATCATTCAACTCTGTGTTTGATAATAACTAATAACTGTATTATTGTGACTAAATATCAGTGTGTCTATGAAAGCAGAATGCAATGGAAAGTGTAATCACAAACATGCTCACAGATGGCGACTGTAAAGGCTCAAACAAACAAACGTCTTTTGAGCTTAACATTGGCCCTGCAGGGCAAAGCCCGACCAATCAGGAGCAGAGAGGCCTGACGAGGCCAAACAAATGAGACATGAGATCGATTTCATTCAAACAGCGCTCATACATTAACCCGTTAATGCTCGGCCTTCAGGTTCACTCGTGTGCCACCAACACGTCATGAACTGGCTGCAGGAGAGCCAATGACTCTCTCAGACCAAGTTGTTTTTTTCCGTTGTGTTTTATTGGCCGACACGCTGCACTGACAGCCTCGTAAACAGCTAATGGCCCCATTTCTGCTAATTGTGACTGAAGTGGAGTCTGCTGAGCTCACAAGAAACTTTAACATGGCTCTGAATGTGCTTCTGTCATCGTTCCAGGAGGGAAAATCCAAAGACAGAAAGCGGAGGAGAATCGACCTGACGAAGCTGACGGAGATCTGCATTTAGATTGCCGATTAATCTGATCGTTTTTTTTATTTTTTTAAACAATCAGCTGCAGTTCAACAAAATAACCCGCCTCTATCAGCTCGTCTGTCCAGAGAAGCTCAAAGTGTCCAGCATCTTTCTTTCTTTTCCTTCCCTCCTCCCTAACGACCTGAGGAGGATTTATTAGCCGTCTAACCGCGGCGATGTCTCCCTCCCTCCTCCTCGTCCTCCTCCTGGCTGCTCCCGCCCTCCTGACCCCATTGACCTCCCAGGAGTTAGAGGTCAGAGGTCAAAGGCCACCCAGGGACACCAAGCAGGACTCCATCAAGGTGAGTCTTTGGGTCCTTGTTTGTGTCTGTTGTGATGCTGGATCACCCCGATTTCAGATCAAAACATTTTTCCTGAAGTCAGGGTGAGCTGATGTGTGAATGCAGCAGGAAATGTTGACGAGGGTCACATGGCTGATGACGCCACGTGACGTCTGTATACTGGTCCGATCTCTGCGCACGCTGCTTCATTCTCTTTTATGATCTTCTGTGAATAATTAAAATCCCACACAGCATTGGTTTAAAAGCAAAACTGTCTGCCATCTTGGATTTAAAATGCGCAGCATCCTGTTTATGTCACATTCTGCCTCTCTTCTGCCACCCCTCCTGGAGAACATCTCAGTCTATGATGTGCATGTGTGAATGGAGCAACTCCGGAAGAGTTTAGAAGCAGACTGTTTTCTTAATGAAATTGGACGACTGGAGGTCTCAGTGACGCATCACATGTACCGTAGGGCGGTTTGAACAGAACACAGTGACAGATGAGCGGCTCTCCCGTTGTGTTGGTTTCAGGTGGTGATCTCCGAGGGATGCAGCACTCAGGGGGATTCATCCGACGTCAGCCAGGGAGGTAAAAACCTGCACACCTCAAACAACTGAAGGTCAAACATCTCAGCGAGTTCATCTCCTCCCGGTTCTAAATCATTCTGTGTTTCTCAGGTAGAGAAATCGACCTGACCCCCGGCTCCCCTCTGGTCCTTACCCATAAGATCAAACTGGTTACATCCGATTCTGGTTCGGGGTCTGGATCCTGCGGTTGTGAGACGGACTTTGCTGCCTTGCGGGAGCGTCTGGAGAGGCTGGAGAGGGAGGTGTCGTCTCTGAGGGAGAAATGTGGCGGAGCTGAGGGCGGCTGCTGCACCTCCAAGGAGAGCAAAGGTAAATCAAAAACATCTGTTGGCCAAAAACTGCTCAGTGATATTTTAATATTCAATGAATAATCAACAGAACAGAACGCAGCTACCATTGTTTTTAAATTCAAAGAAACTTCATTTGGTTCCTCAAACGTCCTTTAAAAACAACGTGAAAGTTTTCCATCTCCCGATCATCCTGACTAGAAATCCAAACACATGTCTTCCAATCATATGATTCTGATTTCTTTGGTATTTCAAATAAACAAACCCGGAGAACACAGTGGACCTCGCACCGGCTATAAACGATGTGAGTGTGTTTACGCTCTGAAATGACACATGTGTGTTTAGTGTTGTTATTATTCTGATCAGTGTTTGTTTACAACATGTGGACGATAAACTTCCGTCTATTTTCTGCAGTTTATCGATCATTAGAGCCACAAAACACACACACCACCGTGACAACAAACACACACACACACACACACCACCGTGACAACAAACACACACACACCTCCGTGACAACAAACACACACACGCACACCACCGTGACAACAAACACACACCCACACACCACCGTGACAACAAACACACACGCACACCACCGTGACAACAAACACACACCCACACACCACCGTGACAACAAACACACACGCACACCACCGTGACAACAAACACACACACACACACACACCACCGTGACAACAAACACACACACACACACACACACACACACACACACACACACACCACCGTGACAACAAACACACACACACACCACCGTAACAACAAACACACACACACACACACACCACCGTGACAACAAACACACACACACACACACACACACACACACACACACACACACACCACCGTGACAACAAACACACACACACACACACACACACACACACACACACACACACACACACCACCGCGACAACAAACACACACACACACACACACACACACACACACACACACACACACACACCACCGTGACAACAAACACACACACACACACACACACACACACACACCACTGTGACAACAAACACACACACACACACACACACACACCACTGTGACAACAAACACACACACACACACACACACACACACACACACACACACACACACACACACAACCGTGACAAGACACACACACACACACCTCTCAGAGACGGTGCCCCGTATTTGGGTACATTTTTGAGTGTTTATGTTTGTATCAATGAGCTCATAGATTTTGATTTGGAGGTCACTCTTAAAGTAATCAGATGAAGATATGAAGACAAAAAGAAGTTCTTACTGCACTCTGTCTTCAACATGTTTGACCTCTGTTAGGTGGGGCTTATTTCTGTAGTAGATGGACAATGATGAAATTGTGAAACAGACTGTGGATCATCTTAGATTTATTCAGCCATGGTCAGACAACACAGAAAGACAAAGACATGCTGACCAAGATCTCACAATCGCTGGCAATCATTGGCAAAGTGGCCAAGTCTTCATCTTCACAGAGTTGCTTATATTCTGCTAGAAGGTACAGCCCACAAATTCCTTTCCATTCTGGTACATCACTAGAAAACAATAAAGATGACATGACACTGATTTGTATACGTAACAGATGTAGACTCTTTGTCTAGCAAACAGTTGTTGACAACATATAGTTTGCTCCTATAGATCTGCTACAATTTAGATGTTTTACCACATAAGGTTACAGCTTCACAGAAGAAGAATTACCCTAAGATGGTTGACACAATTCCTATATATATCCACAAAATGATCAAGATGAATGAATCCATGAAAATACGTACTAACAACCTCTTTAACCCTTCAAAAGACACACAGCGTTCTGTCACTCGATAAGAATCAAAGTGTGACTCAGCGACGTTTCCTCCCATTCGTTACCATCACATCATAAATCAGGACATGTTTCTCTTCATGTCTCCGCTGTGACTCTTCATCACTCTCCATCCAAACACGTGCATGAGTCTCTGTTTCAGCCAGTTCATATTACTTCACTGTTCAGCCGGCTGCTGCCTGACTCATCCCCGAAACACACACACGCACACACACACACACAGCCGACAGATGACAAATATATCAAGTATGTCAATTTTCTTTGAACAATTACAGTTTGATTGGGAGCAGAGTTTCGCCCGTTTTCCAGACCTGCTCTGTTTTATTCTCACTAAGTGGACGAATAAAAACCAGAAACACACTCATTAAAAACAAAGATATCAACAACATCAGAGAGCAACAACAAATGAAGAACGGACTGACGAGAAGTCACACAAGAAATGTCCTGAAACTCTTAGAGAAGAGAGCGATGAATCGGCTGTTTGTGCCTCAGAGGAATCATCTTCCTCTGTAACAAAGAGTTCTGTCTGTGGGGCACCAGTAGTCTAGCGGTTATATCGTGCACCCCATGTACAGAGGCTATAGTCCTCGCCGCAGCGGCATTGGGTTCGAATTTAACCTCTGCCCTTTGCTTCATGTCATACCTCGCTCTCCTCCCAACATTTCCTGTCTCTTGTCTTCTGTCCTGTCCAATAAAGGCAGAAATGGACCGCACTAAGAATCACTACCTGAGCCCATTAGAGACAAAAACAACGACTTTTAGTTCACAAACTTTGATCCATGAAGTATTATGTTGCTGTAGCTGTGTTCAGACTGACTTTATTAAGACATGATCTTTACCCTCCTGTGATGTTTCGCCTTAAATCTGTATGTCATGGAGGCGAAATGGAGGGACGAAGTGATCCCTCGCCTGTACCGTCTTCAGAGGTAGTAACAGAGACGGGATCAGAGGAGCCAGGGGGAGAGTGTGTGTGTGTGTGCGTGTGTGTGTGTGTGTGTGTGTGTGTGTGTGTCTGACTTTGTGTGTTTATGTGGAGCTCCTGCTGTGCCGAATGTAATATGTACAAAGACGTGATGACGGCTGAGCTTAATTACGACACTTTTCAGCCTGTTTCTCTGCTGCAGGAAGAAGAAAACTTCTGGAGCAAATCAAAAAGAACGTTTTTGTTGTAAATTAGACTCCAAAATATGTAAACAAAGGACGCAGCTGAAATATAACATTTCTAATATTTAAATCACACTTAAGCACAACACTTGGGTCAAATGCACACAATGACTTTGATGTCAGTCAAATGATGTCTCACAGATTTATGTCCATCAGTCACAACGTCTGTGAAAATGAAGCTGACCTCAGAAGTGATCACATTCTGAACTGGCAGAGCTCAGCGTATGAGTAACTGCTGTGTGTGTGTGTGTGTGTGTGTGTGTGTGTGTGTGTGTGTATCACAAACTCTCTGCCCAGGGTGATCTCAGTCTCGACCTCCTCCCACAGTCCACTAAAGCCCCCCCTCCTCCACCCTCCTCACGCACACGCACGCACACACACACACACACACACACACACGCAAACACAGAGCAGGGCAATTAGTGTGTTACTCTCTCATCAGAGAGGATCAGACCTCCGCCCCTCAAAATCCCCACCTCCCAAATACTAAAGCAGGAGAATGAAATGAAAGGATTTTGTTCAGTGTAAGTGAACTTATGAATCAAAGTTTCTCTCTCACTGCCCTCCAGGAGGTGATGGTCTTCTAGAGGCAGATAACAAACTCCTGGCTACTGATTAGGAAATGGATATATAAAGTGCTTTCACACCTGCACAAAACTCCTGATATTTCCCAGAGGAGCTGCATGTGTGAACTCAAACATCTGAATGTTTCTCTCTTCACCCGGAGTTTCTCCTCCAGCCTCCTCGTATTTATTCTGCAGAAAGTCAGAGTGAGCTGATGTGAGAACGCAGCAGGATATAATCAGGAGAATTCACCTGGAGTGAGTGGGAGGGGGTGGTGACGTTTATTCCCTGTTTGCTAAACTGTCTGCACGCCACCTCTATGATCTCTGTGCTCTAATGAACCTGCTGCATTATGTTTCCTGTTCTCCGGTATGTTCTTCCCCTCTTTAGTTCAGATTGTGATTCTGTTCAACTACACGTAGCATTGATATAAAGACAAATATTCTCATTATAGCGTCGTATAGAGGACTCTGTTACTTCGTCTGCCACTTCCACATTGTTCTTACCTCAGGAGAACCCCCTCCCCATCCCGTCTGACAGGTATAGTTTTCTGCTGTGAGGTGCATGTGTGAACAGCCAGCTCAGGAGAGTATCAGGGGAAGTCCTGAGTTCGCCTGCAGTTTTTGGATACTGAAAAAAAGACATGCCAAAATTTTGTGTGACTAAAACTAAAATTTTGTAGCTGTTGCATCAAAGCAGATGTCGATATTCAGTGTTTCCCCTACCATTATATGGCATTATATCTCCCCCCCCCCAAACGCTTTAAACCTAGGGGAAACACTGATATTGTTTGAGTTTTACTAGAATCATACTACAATTTGTAAATCTGGTACTGTGACAACCCTAACCTAAGAGTCCCATGCATGAAGGTAGATAATCCACTGAGATTAGTTCCTCTTTGTGTAACCCTTTTTATGATCTTTAAACCCAAACTTTACTCCAGCCACATCTGGGCACTCTGGCTGGAACTGTCTCAGGATGCAGCAGGACCATTTGAGTTACTGTAGCTGTAAGTGCGTCACGGTCGTGGTGCCCCTGTGTGTTTTCTGTTTAGACTTTTCTGTTTGTTTGTTTCTAACCTAAAGGACTCGTGCCACATGCAACAGAACATAGAAGCATGTCAGAGTCTGTTAAACGTTACCTTTGATCACTGCCATGAACCCTCTGATACCACTAAGTTAAACCATGTCCGTTTGGTCCATCTGGTACCGAACACATGTCACAGAAATACCATTTAACTGACACATTAAACATTAGGAGGCTTAGAAAGGCCAAATGATGCAAAGAAGACGTTCATGTTTGAGTGCCAGATAAGCTCGCAAGAACATAAAATACATGCCACCTGAAGTAAGAGGACGAAACACGTTGTTATGTGCTGTAATTCAGGGGTAAACACATTTAAGGATCCTGCAAGTATTAAAACTCTTCCATGAGTGCATAAACAGAATTATCAATCACAAAGTATAATGTTTCTTATCTTTCTGCCACCTCCTCCCTCCCTCTGCTTCAGGCGCAGGTTGCTCCATCAAACCAGACACCGGCGAGTGTCCAAACGAGTGCAACGATCAGGGTCGCTGCGTGGACGGAAAGTGTGTCTGCTTCCCTGGTTTCAGCGGACCGGACTGTGGTCAGTCCAACTGCCCCGGAAACTGCGACAACAAAGGAAAGTGTGTGAACGGTCAGTGTGTGTGTGATCCTGGTTTCAGCGGCCCTGACTGCTCGCAGGGAGGCTGCCCGGACAACTGCAACAACAGGGGGCGCTGTGTTAATGGACAGTGTGTGTGCGACAGCGGCTTCACCGGCCCCAGTTGCTCTGATAAATCCTGTCCTGGAAATTGCAACAACAGGGGGCGCTGCATCAATGGGCAATGTGCGTGTAATCCTGGATTCGCCCCGCCTGATTGCTCCAAAAGGGCGTGTCCGGATAACTGCAACAACCAGGGCAGGTGTGTGAACGGTAAATGCGTGTGTGACAACGGCTTCACTGGTGCAGACTGCTCTGAGACGGGCTGTCCTGGAAACTGCAACAACAGGGGGCGCTGTGTAGACGGAGAGTGCGTCTGCAATGAGGGATTCGGCGGCCCAGACTGCTTAGAAATAATCTGCCCTAATGACTGCTACGACCGCGGAAGGTGTGTGAACGGTCAGTGTGTGTGTGACATCGGCTTCACAGGTGAAGACTGCTCCCAGACCTCCTGTCCGGGAAATTGCAACAACAAGGGGCGCTGCGTTAATGGACAGTGCTGTTTGTGACAGGGGATTCACAGGTGAAGACTGCTCTGAGACTTCCTGCCCTGGAAACTGCAACAACAGGGGGCGCTGCGTTAACGGACAGTGCGTTTGTGACGGGGGATTCACAGGTGAAGACTGCTCCGAGACTTCCTGCCCTGGAAACTGCAACAACAGGGGGCGCTGCGTTAACGGACAGTGCGTTTGTGACGGGGGATTCACAGGTGAAGACTGCTCAGAGACTTCCTGCCCTGGAAACTGCAACAACAGGGGCGCTGCGTTAACGGACAGTGCGTTTGTGACGGGGGATTCACAGGTGAAGACTGCTCAGAGACTTCCTGCCCGGGAAACTGCAACAACAGGGGGCGCTGCGTTAACGGACAGTGCGTTTGTCACGGGGGATTCACAGGTGAAGACTGCTCTGACAAAGCTTGTCCCAACAACTGCAGCAACCGCGGGAAGTGCGTGAACGGGAAATGTGTTTGTGACGTTGGCTTTGCCGGGCCGGACTGCGCTGCCAAAGGCTGTCCCAATAACTGCAGCAACAAAGGGCGGTGCGTCAAAGGAAGGTGTGTCTGCAGGCGGGGGTTCACGGGACCAGACTGCAGCCAGTGTGAGGAGGGGATGACCGGACCTAACTGTGATACGGGTGAGTCAAACCAAACAAATTCACCTTTTGTGTCCTAAATGTCAGATGATATAGGGTGCCACAGGAATGAGTTCTTAAACCAGGAAGGAAGTTAGCATTTTAGCACCATGGGGTCATTTGCCTCAAACTCGATGGTTAGATGCCTGAAATAAGGTCTGTGGTTAACACAAGCATATGAGATATTTGCGTTTTGTTTTAGGACATTAAACACATTAGTGAATACCCCACCCCCCAAAGTGGCTAAATAAAACTACAGTGCAGTTGTCAGGGACATTAAAGAGCCCATATTCTGCCCTTTTTGGGGTTCGTATATTTAATCTATGTACCTACTTTTGTACGTTCACAATAGCTGAAGTTCGAAAAAAGTGTCTGTTTTCATGTACTGCTCCTCCTTGCTCCCTCTACGCTCTGAGTCCGTCAGCTACACTCTGTTGAGCCCACACTGTTAGACCCCACGTGGGCCAAGTCTGCTCTGATTGGTCTGCTGATCCGCTCTGTCGTTATTGGTCAGTTGCTCAGCACGCTTCTCGGAAATTTCAACATGAGCTGCTGGGCTTGCCACAACAAGCCAATGGTCTTAGATCAGTGATCTCACACTGACAATGACACCGCACTGACACATTTTATTGAGGGGGGCTAGAACCGAGCGTTACATGCAGCTAATGCTACAGCTAACAGGAGAAGGTAGGAGAAGCCGCATAATATGGGACCTTTAAACGTCTTTAGGTTAAGGTTACATTTTTGGGATTAATGCAAAGATTAAGTTAATAAACAATTTATGAGGCTACTGTTTCACTAGCTAGTCAGAACTGCTGGTTAGCTTGACGGAGATATCCTGAGGCAAAGTGGTGGTGATGTTAAAGCCGTGCGACCATGGTGTAGTTAGCTTGTAGCATAAAGTTAGCTTTTTACCCCTGGGGATTGCATTAATGCTTTAAACATCATCAATATGGTGTTCATCTGTGAAGATTATCCTAATGAACAAAATGCTCACGCAATTTTCTGCAATGAACCATAATCCAAAACTATAATCCGCCAATAAAGACGCCATGGCGGTGCTAACTTCCGGGTTGGCCTACAGAAATATGTCATTTTGTTTCCTCTCTAGCGTAAATTTATGATTTAATTCACTAGATATCGTACAGATTGATGCTTCAGGTCGGAGAAGGAGGTGTACATCAGTGGTGTATTGAAAGTTGTGTCTTTCGTGTCTGTTGATGGATTGGACAAAATATTATGAACACCTTTAACTGATGTTTACTTTTCTTTCACCAACATCTGGCGTCTGGTTGGATGTCTCATGAGAATTTGACTGCGTGTAAAGTCTCTCTCCTCTGTCCTGGTTTGTTTCTTCCCTGGTGAATAAACCGTTTAGAAAACACTTTACATGTTTGGTTTTTGAGCTGAGTTTGCTCATCCCAGATGTTTGACTTCAGTGTCACATAATTACTTAATGAGTGTGACACTTGAGAGCAGACAGTTTGTCATGTGTGGGAGGACACAGGTGTTAAATGTTTACAGACTCTCCGAGTGACTGTTTGTTGAATCAGTTGTGTTGAAAGCGTCTTAATTATCTCAACATTTCTCTCCTTGTTATTTATTATCAATGACATTTTTATTCCCTTGGATAATTTAATGCTTCATTATTTACACATTGAGTCGTTTGCCTCTTTCTTCTTCACACTTTTCAACACTTCCTGTTGTTTTCGTCGTTGCCAGGCTATGTTAGCGTGTAAGCCCGTATGTTTGGAGCCTGTTTCATTAACAGCGCAGCAGGATGCAGATCTGCTGCCTGTCACACGCCCTCACACTGCTGCCTGAGGCTGAAGCAGCACAGACACATGTGGGAGTGTTAAAAAACCTCAGCCGACCTCTGATTGGAGTTAAAGAAAGGAAGTCCTCAAAACTGAGGCTTCACATGAGAGGGAAGGAGAGATAGAAGTTTCTGTGCCCATTTGGACCCCATAACTTTGAGCTTTGACTTTCTCTGAGCCTTTATTTTGAATAATGTAGCGTGTTAAAGGAGGTCAGTCCAGGACCAAACTACTGAGATGCTCGATCCAGGAGTGGCCTGGCTGAAACGCTTTGCCTCAGTTTGCAATCATCCTCCTACAAATTATTGGCAACCAGACCTGACTGCAGCACCTTACAATGACGGCAAACCTTTCACTTCAGCAGGTCAAAATCCCTTCCGGGATCACACACCTGACCTTTACAGTGACGTCCTGAAATGTATACCTGAGCTTTAGTCTTACAGCGACACCCACAGTGGATACAAAACACTACAATAACATGGCAGTATAAGAAACCCCTATTTTGGCTCTTACATGGCATACCTTATTGTTTTATCTTGAGCCAACATTATATAAAGCTTTTAATCAGTCCAAAATGTTGATTTCTGACATAGAACCTCTTCAGAGATGAGCAGTAAGTTTGTAGGCATGCTAAAATCATGACTGGAGCATTTACACTCAGGATAGAGAGCCTCCAGAGACCAGAACAGTTCATGTTTCAACTCCGTCTTTAAGGTGGAGTCAGTAGAAATGTTGGTCACAGCTTGTAAACAAAATATTCAAACTGGGCCCCTGAAGCTGACACTCGACGTAGTGTGTATGTTTATCGCTTGTAGCTACACTGCAAGATACTACCCACTAGTACAAGCTAACCGCCGGTGTTTGTCACCTGCCTGTCCAAAAAGAAGCAGACCAACTCCACGTCCACGGGTAAAACACAGGGTCTCTGCTGATCATTATTCCACAAAGACAAACTCAAAATGTTTGTCAAATATGAAGCATTATGATAAGGCGATAACAGAAGCCTACAGCCTTCATCCACAGCTAGTGTTAAATAACAGCAGTGACCTCTAGTGGTGAAATCTTCAACAGCAACAATAGGTAATTAAGCGCTACTCTATTACTGGACGGATTAATGATCTTGGCTCATGAAAGATTAAATCAGGAGTAAACACAAAGACCTCAAACATTTCTGAGGGATGTAATCTATCACGAAGAACACATTGCTGTTTCACATTTCAAAACCATCACCATGACAACCACATTTTACAGAGGGCTTTACACCTGGCACACCGTAAATGTTAGCAGAGCGCGAACTGTGTCCTAAATTAAAAAATACGTTCAAACTTAACAACGATCAGTGCTGACTCTCGGCCCAGCATCCTCTGCTCACTGAACTCATATAAAGTCACATCATGATGATCTCAGTGTCCCCAGGTTTGTGTAACAGCTCAGCCTCCAGCCACAATAAAGTCCAAAAACTAAAGAAATACTAATTAAAAAAGGATTCATGGTTTGTTTTGGAGAAGAGAGGGGTCTCTGCTGTTTTGTTCATTTTTCATCACCATGAGAATCTTTCTATAAAACCATTTAATTTGTATTTGTTGCTCCATCTTCTTTGGAATAAACATAAAATGTGTTTTACGTCTCTGAACACATGTGTTTGGTAGCCAGCCTACACAGATGAAGTTCACGTTGGACTTGATAATTATTTACGGAAAACTGCGTCAGGCTCTCAGTGACCCACTGAGCACATGTTTTCAGCACACTTTTTATGTGGAACTGGCACATTAAATTCAGTTCTTATTGGGAGTGCCTTCACTGTGTGTCGTTACACATCAGTGTGTGTGTCTCTCAGGCTTCACTTTAACGTTTCAGGATTCAGTTTATGAGCTGAGGTTTCTGCAGAAGAGTGAAATATGTGAAATATAGATGGAAGATGATGAGAATCCAAAGGACTCATGCTGCTTTAAAACTATTAAATAGACGGATTAACCGTTGATGCTTCTTGTTACACTGCAAAAGTGATACACAAGATTTAAGCAGAATTATCAGGAACTATAGTGAGGTCTGATAGTTCACTATTTGGTAATAAGGGTTAGGGTCAGTAGCCTAACTAGTAAAATCAAGGTCATATTAGTCTGGTGCATTGCTTTAATGCACCTTTCAGGACAGAACCAAACATTATATGAGTAATATGTAACTATGCCCCCTAGTGTTTAAAATGGGTACTGCAGTCCAAATTCTAAACATTGTAGAGAGCTCTCTCCCCCCCTCCTCTCTAGGGTCGATGCTCATGCAGGTTGCCATGTGGTGGACTCTGAAGCTTCAGTGTTTATCCAGCTCTGCATCGGTCTGTAAACCTTTCTGTGTTCTAACCTCTCTCCATTTTTCAAAAGTATCTCCAATATTGATCCTAGTTTGAGCACGTTTCTGCTCGTGGAGCTTATTAGAAACATGCAGAGGCTTTTTAGGTCGGGTACAATCACTTCTATCTGAACCAGTTCTCTTGCCCGCTTCCATCGCTGCAACACCTGTTGGTTTGACCTGATAACTGGTCCCATATCTGGAAAACCGAGGGGCGTCCAAAACGGCCTTGTAGGGGTGCCTTAAAACCATCTACCTTCTCTGGTCCAAGTTACTGCCATTTACTAAAATAATCCAGCCAATTATTTGACTGGGAGAAAACTGCATCATTGAAAATATTTTTTGGGAAAAAGAAGGAAGCCTGTGAGCAAAGAGCCAGCAGTGAAATGTACCTCAAAACATTTATCCTGGTAATGCGCTCGCACTTTATTGTATTTTTCCATTACTTCATTCTTTAACTTCACTCCCTGAAGACATATTCTACGTTTTATTGCAGTAAACTTTACTCTTAAATCATGAAACTGGACTGGACCCGTGATGACAAAACCATCTTCACCGTCTGCAGCGTTTCGTTTTCACGCAGCAGATCAGAAAGAACGGTTTGTTTCATCGCTGTGTAGCCAAAAACAAACGGCAGGCAGTTTGATGGAGGCACGTCAGACACATCCATCACCGTCTTTGTCTTTGGTCAGATGTACGTCTCCATCATTGATCAAAAGGATGCTTCATTCGTTCCACTGCATCCATCACACAAGGGGAAAAAAAAGAGACACGAGGGAGAAAACCTCAAAGAAAAACTCAGGTGGAAAATCAAACTTGTGGAATTGTCCGGGGGCTGAGGGTCTCCATCCCTGTCGCCTGAGGGAGGGTGTCTGATGTTGTGAGAACTGAAACACCCGATGAACTCAGGATACATCGCTCATGTTTGCCAGCGCAGGATGTTTCTTCAAACTGTTATCTTTCTGTTTTTGATGAAACAATAAATGAGCTCGGGTAGGGACCTGTAACTAAAGTGAAAGGAGGATCGTGAAGAGGTAATCATGTTGATGAAGAAGATTGATGGTTGGACTCTGGGTCCTAAATTAACAAGCGCCAAATGCGGGTCTATTTTCCATTTGGCGGGTACATTTGACAGAACTATCAGCCACGTGGCCGGTAAATGTTAATACCAGACAGCCAGACAGCCATGTATTAAAACTGTGATGGATATTAAGCATGTTTGAATTAGCTGCTAATCCTCCCGGACAATACTGAAACTAAACAGGGCAACATGTTTATACATGTTTATACATTACAACCAAATTTTCCCCTAGGCTAAATCGTTTCTGATTCTGAGTGAAATATTTTAGTTTAAAACTAAAGAAGAGCTGCTTCAACACCTGAGAAATGTAATGAATGTAAACACACTCTCTCGCTTTCTTTTAACAGTCATGTCTGGAGTCTCTCAGCTGAGCACTCGTGATGTCACTGAGTCGTCCGTCACTCTCGTTTGGAATCCGCCTCCCATCCAGTATGAGACCTACTACATCACCTTCACCAGCCAGGTATGTACCCAATGGTCGGGTTATTTTGACACTCTAATATCTAACCAATAACTACTGATTTGGGTTAGGCTGTTTAAAGCATCTGCTGCCCTGAGGGTTTTCCAGTGTGCATCCAAATCTTTCTTATCCACAAATAAAGTGATGATATCACTAAAACAATACAGATGAAATATGGTCTATTTTTATAGCTTACGTTTACATGACGATAAGTCTATTTTAGCCAAGGAGATGCTGGATTAAAAGCTCATGCCAAACCAAACAAAAGCAAATGGAAAAAAAACATTTCAGCTCATTTGACATCAGATGACAGGCATTCAGAGATAAGGTGAGGGGCTCAGAGTACATCCGCCGCTCCTTCACATCGAAAGGAGCCAGTTGAGGTGGTTTGGGCAGCTGATTAGAATGCCTCCTTTTATTTGTCTTCCGGGCACGTCCAACTGGAAAGAGGCCCAGGGGTAGACCCAGAGCTCACTGGAGTGATTATATATCCCTGATGGTCTGGGAATGCCTTGGGGTCCCCCAGGAGGAACTGGAAAAAGTGGCTGGGGGGAGGGACGTCTGGGGCAACTTGCTTAGCCTGCTGCCACCGCAACCAGGCCCCGAATCAGCAGAGAATCATGGATGGATGGATGATCCGCATTTAAAAAATAAACATCCACAAAGAGAGAAACTGATGTCCTGAGGGTTCTAAGAAGTCAGTGAAAGAGACCTGGATAAACTCTCTGACACATTATTTGTTCATGAGTTTAACCTCTGTCAGCGGTTTCAGAAGAAAAGAGGAAACAGTTTAAGTGTAAATTAGTATCCTGACTGACTAGCTCAGATACTTTGTTTATTTGTGGATTTACACGTAACCACTTCAAATCTTAATCATGAATCAACACCAAAAAACATTACTTTTTTTTGCAAATGAATCTCCAGACTTTAGACTCTTTTCTGGTAATTGCTGACATTTCTTGCAGATTTTCTATATTTGCTTGTAAAGACAAACTGGTAAAGATATTTTTCGCTCTGTTTGCTTGTGTTTTTCTCCTTTCCGTGTGTTTTCTTAAGCTGCAGTTCATTGAGCTCTCAGGGCCACCATAGGCTCTACATCAACTTTGTTTGCGGCTTAATTTTTTGGTAATTTTTTCTCCATGTTCATGTTGAACCAGCAGGGCTCAGCTTTTCAATGTGACCTCAATCCAAAAGAATGAAAACCACAAGGCTAAGACAATTTCCAACAAACAGTTTGCAACAAGGGTGGTTAACTAGCGGCAAATTCACCCTTTAAACCACCAGGGGGTCAAAAATTAAGTTTTATTGAAGTTTACACTTCAACACTTGAGCACTGATACAGTTATATTTAACTACATACAGCCCTTCACGAGACTGAAATTGTGGGAATCTTTATTGGTAGAACGCTGATATGACAGTTTGCTGCTTGGGAGTAACACTTACTGGCCCGCTGCTTACTGAGGGTCCACACCATGCATAGATAGTTTATATTATTTACAATACGGTCCACACTAACACTCATTTATTACATTTGGACATTTATTTCCTTCGGTGTGTTCTAATGGGTCGTATTGTTTCCAATATGGGAACAGGTTCGTGGTGTCGCCATTTTAGCTGCACTTTGGCACAGTTAACAGAGATCTTTACTCTGTTTTTCTTTTGTCGGACAGTAAAGAGCCAAACTGTCTCTAAACTCCAGAAGTTGAGCAGCCTTTCTTGCCGTCTTGTCGAGGATATTTTCTCCTGCTTTGAGGCGGTAGGTTTGGCGTTTTCTTCAGAGTAGCTATCGCTAATTTCGGCTGTTTCCTTTCCGCTCCTGGGGTCTGTAAGCCCGTCTACCCATATCCCCACGACCTGATTGGCTGTTTGTAGTCTTTTTCTTCTTCTCTTTAATTTCGGGTGGTAACTAGCGTTCAAGGAGCATTAGCGCTGTCAAAGCAGCTGAGGTCCTAGATATGTACTTGGAGGAGGGCCATCAGGGGCTGAAACACAATTATCGTGTTTCTGTTTTGCCATTACTAAACTGTGCGCATCTGGAAATTTTAATACAAAGATACAGACAAAGGAAATACAAGAGGTTCTTGGAAATCAAGATTCAAAGCTCAAATTTGAAAAACATGTAAAGAACATTTGTTAAACAGTAAAGACTTGATTTTAGCTTCATACTTTAGATTTATGCTCCTGTCACAACCTTTATGGCCACAGAGAGAAAACAGATCAACACACATATTTGTAGAAATAACTCAGGCAGCAGGTGTGTTTGTTGACAGTCATGGCTGTGCATCAAAACGACACAAAGCTTTCCATCTCAGAGTCCTCACTGTCCCTGTGTTCAGGAGCTGCTGGGGGTCAAAAATCGTCATCCGCCAGGTCGTGTTGAGCGGCTCAGGAAAATGTTGGACAGTCCATCTGAAATCTGTCCCTGAAATTTACTCAAGACCCTCTGGGAGCTTTAAAAGCATGTCAATGAGGTCTGCAGATTGTGCATCTCCTTAAACAACCTCTACAGGCTGACCAAATCTGACTGTTAAGCTTCACAAAATCTAAAAATAATTTCTGTTATTTTAATCATCAATAGTGTAAAAAACTACCAAATCTCTAAAAACTCCAGAACTATTATCGTCATTTGATTTAAAAAAATAAATAATTCTGGGCCTTCATTGAGAAAGGGCAATGGACAGAGTCAGAAATCGGGCAGAGGGAGAGGGTGGGAAAGGACATGCAGTGAAAAGAGTTAAAGGTCGGATTCGAACCTGCGCCTGCTTGGAGGACCACAGCCTCCGCACATGGGGCATGCATACCATCCCCTAGTCACCACCCCAAGTCCTTTTGGTGTCTCATAAAGGCGCTAAAGTCACATTAACGTCTCTGACAAACAGACTGAGATCAATAGGCAATGTTTTGATACCTAACATTGCCAGTGAATCTGCAAGAGCAGGAGTCTTTTTTTCTTGTTGCCGTGGTAGCAAAACAGGTTTGATATCATTGATATTTTATAAGCATCATATCAAGGTCTTAAATTCTAGTATCATGACAACCCAGTTGTTTGGTATTGTATTGAGCCATGCTAAAGGCTAATGTGTTTTTAGTTGGATGAACTCCTGAGTGTAAACCCTCGAGGAGGACAGTAACACTTCATCTCCTCCGTTTGAAAACATTCAGCATTTTCTAGATCCGGTTCTCACACTTATTTTCATCCCTCACAGGAGCTATTGAACAGTCAGAGGGGTTGTGTCGATGGTGACATGGCTAGTAACACAGCTGGGACTCAGAAACATGAGCTAAACATAGCAACAAAGATGGATTAAGAGCTCACAGTTTGTGACTAACAAGACGACAATCCTCCGTCTGATGTTCACTCCTGTTTGGTGGAGTTCAGAAATATTACAGCCTCAAGGATTTATCGGCCTCACTAATGATCTCTGGCTCTTATATTAGTTGGAAAAGTTTCATCAACAGAGACCTGTGTGTTTCAGTTTGGGTTGTGTTAAAAAGTAAAACCCAAGCAACATGTCTTTTAAGAAAAGTGATGCCAAGCAGATTACATTTTCAGGAAACCAAGTCTTGATCTGCTCACAGCAAATGGCCCAGTTTAAATTTAAAGTATACTTAGGGCACACTCAAAAGAGGCAATCCGTACCGTGCCTAAACACCCCTGCCTAAGCTCGGCAGGGGTGGAGCAGCAATTTTAAAAGTGCGGGTGTTCTAATGCTAATATATTACCACCCACCAGAAAATCAACACATTCTGTTTAATTTAATGTTTAATAACTAATGTTAGCTGACACATCATACAACAAGACAAAGTTACAAAAGATTATAATTAGACACTAACTTAATGAACATCCATTGTGAGTAACCCAGTTAGCTCTAAAAAACGAGATTCAAAACTGCTCTTTGTGATTCTTTTATTTTGCTTTTCTTATTGCCTTATGCCTCAGTCTCTTTATTTCCGGTCTACAAATATAATGTGCTTTTATTTTGAAAAACTGCGAAGGGGACTTCCGCTACATCCCGTAAGTTACGGGAGTAAAATAAATACAGCTAAAATAACAATCAAGAGGAGAAAATGTTAAACTTATGTTGTTTTGTGAGGTGGATTTATCTTAAAAACATCTGTTTGGGTGACTAACTCTCTTTCAGAAGGATGCTACATGTTGTGTATCCATTAGCTGTGAGCTCTGACTCAGCCAGTGATGAGTGACAGGAGGATTACTGTTAAATGCATGTAACTTTACCGTGCTTCAACTGTAACCGAACAGCTATGATTGGCTTAATTGTCATTTGATAAATCTTCCTTAACCAATAGGTTTTCGTCAATGACTCCACTGGTAAAAAGTGTGGGGGATGAAATTACATTTCAGTGAAAGTGTGGGTGTCACAACTCCCACAACACCCACGGGTGAGACGCGCCTGAAGCTCAGTACACTTCCTTGGCTCAGACACGGTTGGAAGAGGTGTGCACGGTACAGTTGCTCATGCATGTGGTACAACGTGGGCATGAAGTATAATCGATCCCATTATCGAGAAATCTCCTTAGAGTTCTGGCAGTATCTAACTAAAATAACCCAAAATAAGACACAAAGTCAGTAAAGTAGTGGCCATGTTCTCTGTTGTTCTCTGATTTACGGACGAGGACTCGACTGCACATCCCCGTCCGCCTGTCTTTTAAACCAAGCTCGCGTCATGATCATGTAAAGCCATACATGTGTTTTATTACGACGTTTCAAAGCGTATCATATCTTAAGGAGTTTGCATGTTGCACCTCCTTTCTTTCTACTGTAGCCCAGAATGGACAAACCAAGCACTGGCTGAAAAGGAACTGTTTGAGTTTCATGGTCACATCAGGTTATCTTTCATGGTTGCAAAGGGAGAGAGACTGGAGTGGATGTCATTTTGTTAAATATTTATATCGTCATAAAGTCTGTTGGCCAAAGACTCCATACTGTTCTGTTTGGATGACTTATGTGGAGCAGAAAAAGCACATTCAAACTCAGTTGGGTG